AATGGCGCCAATTTGGGGGATTGGGGCCCGTACGTGCACATAGATTGAGTTCCCAAAGTTTCAGCCTTATAGCTTTTATAGGTCTTGAGATGAAAGTGCGTGGCAGACGCATACATAGACACACAGACAACCTCTCGTCAATATGCGTCTTCCGCATTGCATAGCTGCAAAAAACGCATAAAAAAAACTCATACAAAATCGCAACACATCCCCTAGATTCCGAACAGCTGCGGGGCCGAACCGCGAATTGTGGCAAAAGAAGGCTCGGCCATACCCCACACGCAATTTTGCAACTTTAGCTTGGATAGGTTGGATTGACGGGGTTTTTGCGTTCTTCCCAGGGTTGTGTGTCCTGTTTTGGTGTGGGGGTGTTGGTGCTCAAGTTCTTGGGGTGGTGTTTTCCCGGTTTTGATATGTAGAAGTGCTGCCGCTTGTTACTCAGTGTCGGCTTGGCTTCTTTTAAGCAATTTTCGAAAGACAAAACCATCGACAGTCTTACCAGCGAGTGGTTGCTTTTGGCATTTGCTACCTGTAAAGTTACCTCTCTCTCACACATACATGGTATATGTACATTCAGTGCATAGTGTGGTTCTCCAGTTCCCATTGTCGTGTTTACTGCCTTTTTAAGGTTAAAGGAAAAATATAAGAAAGAATGACGGAAAACATGAAAAGAATTATTAAAGTACCTACAGGAATGTTTCGGTCCATTAAGTCGTATACATTTCTTACCTCTTACTTTTTTACGTCCTTTTGAAATTGCTCGGGTACCATTCATTAATCCGTTTTTCTTGCTCATCTGTTGTCTCTCATTCTTGGCATATAGCCAGTGCAGCTCTTCTTCCTGGTGTTCATTGCCCGTGGTGATATTGCTTGTAGCAGATTAAATCGCAGTAATTTAATGGAAACGTGTTGCAATTTACCTTATTTCGTGCTTTGGCTCGTTTATTGAAGAAATTTTACAGAAGCAGGAAGTACTACCGGTGATATTTAGGACGGTGAGCACCGCGTTTGTGATGGCTGGAGAGGAATACGAAAGTGTTTGCTTGGTGAAGCCCGAAGTGTTCGTTTACCGCATTCCGCCACTGGCCAGTAATCGAGGCCATAAGTTAGTTCTCTGGCATTAACGTTGACAAGAATGTATTAGGAGAGGAAGGAAACAATGAAAAGGAGGAAAAGGATAAT